CCGGCAGGGCCACCTCAGCCTGGTCCCTCCGGATGGGTTGACCAGGTCTGTCTTCAAGAGGCCAGTCTCCTCGCAAGCAGAGGAGAGACCAGAATGAGGGCGGGCTTAAGACTCCTGCCCGTGACACCTGGAAGCTGCAGCCACTCAGCGTCTCTTCAGGGAAAGCCAGCCAAGTGCTCAGGCAGGCAGAAGAGATGCCCCAGGACTGTGACCTGGGCAAGGTAACACCGTGCAGGTTTGACACCAGACGGAGCACTTAGTAACTGAGAAAGTTCTAGACACACCTCTGTTGATGTTATTCCCCAGCCCCACCCCCGAAGAGAACTTGGAAGTGCCTGCTCTCCTGCGGAACAGTCTGGAAATGTTTTGGAAGATCTGAGTGCTTGTTAAGAAACGGAAACAAACCAAAAGATGCTTTAAAATCTGTATTTGTACAATGATATAAATAGGGGGGTTGTTCAGACACCGCTAGCAGGTTTGTGTGTAAACAGCTGACGTCCACATCCCAAGACTGATTTACTACCGTGTCAACTTGGCCTCACTCTCAAAGGTGAGCCACAGCACTCAGGCAGCCAAAGTCGGAGGAGAATCAATTGCTGGCCGCTGGCAAACTGCAGAATCACTACCACCGTGCGTGCAGGGACTGTCTTACCTGGGAGGGGCGAGCGGAGAGCCAGGCGAGGGGAGAGGCGACTGGGAAGGAGCAAGGCGGCTGGAGACTGGCACCCTGCCGAGGGCAGCCAGAGAGAAAGAGCAGAGGCCCCGCTGGCCAGAGTCAGGGAGAACGACCGCTCGTCGTTGAAAGATAAAGCAGCAGGACAATGATAAAGGGGGCGACAGGCCCGAGAGCCCCCCACTGCACAGGAAAGGAATGTGTGCGTGCTGAGAGGTCAGCCGAGACATGAGGCGGAAGGGAAACAGAGGGCTGAGGAGTGTGAGAGGGAAGAGCGGGCTCAGGCAAGGCACCGGAGACATCAAGACAGACGGCCGCTGAGCACTCCCTGGACAGCCCAAAGACTCTCACCCACCAGATGGAGCCAGTAAGCGGGTACTACCCGTCCCTGGCTGGCTGGGCAGAAGAGGCAATGCAGACACCGGGGGTGAAGGGGAAAAGGGGCTAGATGCAGCCAGAGTTTCTGGAGAGGCGGATTCGTAGCTGAGACAGCCATGCCCAGCAATGGCCGACTGACGTTGTTCATGGGGATACTGGATTTCACGGTGCTCTTCTGCAAACACATGTGCACACCCACGTGTGGGCACACGCGCGCGCGCGCACACACACACACATACACGACACACACAGACACAGTCCTCCTATACCCTTTGGGAGTCAGCTCTGTGTTTCCCAACGTGTGTGGACACGGATCCGATTCTGTCCATTTGCAGAGACGCCTAGACTTGGGGGGTCGGCTCGCTGAGATGCTCCTGCACAGATGAGGTGACAGGGGACTCTGGCCTGGGCTTGGCTCTGGAGCCAGGGGGAACCAGACACCCCCGTGAAGAATAGACCCGTGGTGGTGGGGGTGGGGCGGACGCGCAAAGCAGCATCAGAAACCGGAAGGCCCCTCCACTCTCACAGCTGTGGAGTAGCCCATGTACAAGTCCAGGGTAGGGGTGACCACTCCAAGGGCAACGGCGCTGCTACTCGACCTGCACCGTGGCTCCGAAGCCGGCCCGCTCGCTCAAGTCGGTGAGGCCGGGCGCCCCGTTGAGCACCTCGTCGCTGGGCAGGAGGCCCCGGCAGGTGTCCTGCTGGCGCTCGTGCAACTGAGAGAGCTTGCTTCTCGCCTGCATGATGAGACACTCTGTCACCGGTGTGCAGGGCGAGGCTCCCCTCAGACCCAACCCAGGGGCGAAGGAAGAGGGCTCGAGACCAGGGAAGGCTCACCCACCAACCCAAAGCCACCCTGTCTAGCACGCACAGCCAAGGCATGGGGCCCTGTTCGGACTCCCAGGCCGAGTCATTCACTGATCTGTGACCTAGGAAACCCCAGTGTTCCATAGCAGAACCGCTCTCCACGGGGCTTTCTAGCCTGCAGTCTTTATGGACACAGATCTCCAGGTCTTTCTGCTACAGCACCCAGGAGGTGGCCTTCGACTGCCAACTTCTCTGTTAGGAGTCAAGTGCATACTGTTTGCACCACCCAGGGGCCTTCACACAGATTCTGAGAAGACCAAATGGGACGGCCCAGGGCCCCCAGCTGTTCAAAATGCCATTTAACAGCTCACCTCTGGGAGGGAGTTGTCACTCAGGCCCCTACACACACACACACACACACACACACACACACACACCCTCCCACGGAGTCGGGCCCGGCTGTGGACGGACAGATGGACACACACACCCCTCCCAGACTCAGGCTTGGCTGCAGACGGACGGACACACACACACACACACACGGACTCGGGCTCGGCTCGGCTGCGGACTGAGACGGGAGGGCTCCTCCTGAGAAGCACAATTCTACTCGGACACGCACTGCAGCATCCAGTGACCAGGCTCTGTCGTCATCCCTGCTGCTCTAAGTACCATTCGTGCTTCCTTCGCTGAGCTCCCACCTGGACGCACAGGACTCAGGACT